CATTCACTGCTGTCCTTTGAGAAGTGGTGCTGGGGGTAAAGATGGAGATCATTGAAAAACAAGTCAGTTTCAACGGGCAGGACCTTCCAAAGTAGGTCACCCCAGCTTTCCACTGGGCCGAGGGAGGCTGGAATCCCATTAACCTCAATTGAGCAGGCTGGGGGCGGGGGGCAGAGCAGCTTCGCGAAACAAAACTTGGCTTGGTGTAGGCTTCCTAATTTGACTTCCTAATGAGATTTGGAAGAGGAAAGGGGAGCCTAGGCGATGGGAAAAATCAAAGGAAAATTCCTTTTCAAGCTGGTGGCGCGGAGTGGAGAGGTCTTGGGTGTTTGGGAGGTCTGAATGTTTGCCACCAAGTAAATTTTCTTCTGCTGAGGTCACAGAAAGTCTGAGGGATGGGTGAAGGGTGAGAAGATATTCCAAAACACTTCAATTTTTTAGGAAGTCTCTCCCACCTTGAAAAAAGGAGGGAGTTTAAAAAAAAAAAAAAGCGCCATTGATTTTTACCTGCTTGGAGCTACAGCCCAGACTTCCGGTGCAAACTGCTCCAAAGAGTTGCCTGCACGCCTGACTCCCTAACCCCAGTTCACAGTCCACCTGCTGCACGTGCTGTCTCCCCATCCGTCAGCAGAACGTGTTCTCAATGAGGTCTCACGTGACCTCCCTGTCCACAAATCCAAGGGGTTTTGTAGCCCTCTCTTACTTATCTCCAAGCTGCATGGGGCTCAGCTGACGACTCTCCTTGAACACTCTTCTCTTGACTTCTGGGTACCAACTTCCTTCTGGATCTCTTTGCTGCTTCTTTTGCACACCACGTCCTCCCCAGCGTGAAACGTTGGAGCTCTGGGACTCAGCCCTAAGCCCTCGACTCTTAAGCTGTCGCTCCTCTGTGGCTTTGGCCGTGACTGTCCCCCATTCCTCCATGACTCTCAGTTATACGTGGTATCTCGGTTCATGAACTTGATTCTTTCCATGACTGGTTGAAAACGGAGTTGGATGACAGCCAGATCCAATTCAATGGTTAGTTTCAACGTTGACCTTATGGGGAAATTTGATTTGGTTCTCATTCAGTTTGGTTTGTGACCAGAATCATGGAGAGGATTTCGTTTGGGAACCGAAGTACTACTGTAAATCAGCACAAAATTCTTGCCCTGAAACTCTGAGCTATATAGCTACCTAGGTACTTAACACTTCTATCTGGATAGTTTGGGGAGTGGTAATTGAGGATGGACCCCAGGGCCTTTGCACTGAGCTAGATCCCCAGCCGTTTCTATTTTTTAAAATTCAAGAGAAGGCCTTGAGGTCACCCAGCTTGCAAACCTGTCTAGGCCTTCCAGAATGCTGGGATGACAGGCATGCACCACCATGCCCTGCTTTCCATCTGGAAACCTTATCTTAACAACAGAACCGTCAGAACTGATGCTTCCCCATCAAACTTCACTGAATATTCCCAGGCTTGGGGTGGCACCACCAATCCTTGTTTAGGCAGCTGCACTCCTAGGAAGCATCTGGACTGCTCTGTTTCCTCACCCTCCCTAAACCTGTCACCAGCCTGGCCGCATTGCCTCCTAAATGCATCGCTTACACCCACCCCGCCCCCACC